TCAATTTAAGTAGGTTTGCTGTAGATTTTTGATAGCTGTCCGGTTTAAATGTATTGTAATGAATAGTCCGGATAAATGAGTCTGTGCAGTATTGTTTAACTACATTCTGAAGTAGCAAGGTTCGACTTTGTTTATCATAACAGTTGCAATTCACGAAAACTAAGGTATTAGGGACACCGTTATGCAAATATGGCTTTATTTAAGATCGTCGTACTTGATTCGTGTCCTTGTTCAAACCTTACTTATCAAACAACGGACACATAATTATTCAATATACTCGATGTATTTTGTAAATTTTCTCAAATCCATATTAGAAAACAATAGGTCGAAGTTTACATTATAGTTTATCAAGGACATACATTTTAATGGTAACACTTTACATTTTCTTTGTGATGTCAATGTCAAATACCTGACCAAAGGTTACTACACTGTATAGTTGGTGTTTAAGTTCTGCGTTGTACATACCTCAGTATTCATATTCATAAAATTACATCATTTAATTGAATCAATGGTGTATGATATTGGATTCATCATCATAGATTGGTATAATTTCATCGCAAAACAATATCTTGATACGCAGGGAAGCCTACGTGGTAATCAGCGTATATTATAAGTTATTTCGTAATTGCAAAAACATACACGGTATGTTCATATTCTAAACAATTTTGGTTAAAAAACAAACCTTTTTGAAATTGCTGTCTTGCCAGATGAACCCGCAGTTTTTGTTACGTGTTACTTGTCAGAGTAACATGCGTTTAAAAACAAAATGCCTTACTTGGCTGAGAGCCATGTACTTATATCTGTGTTAAACAATTGCCAATTATTCCTTGCATGATAGATGCGTCAATTGTTCATATTGTTTTTCTTTTTTTCTTTTTTCTTTTTCTTTTTATTGTGTAATAATTTAACACTGTACAATTGTGGTGAAACGTTAATGTCTTTTTATGAACGCTTCTATTTAAATGAATATCCCTAAGGATCCCTGCACCACGACCAAACTATTTAACTAGAAATTTGAAGGGTTTTGTGGTACAAGCATGGCAATAGCGTAATCGAATCAATCCTGAAGAGACACATACATTGTGTAAAACATTGACAGTAACAAAAATACATATGTTTTAAATTACAAATTTATAGAATCATGGGAGTAAACGTAGGTGGGGATTGACCTGAATTGGAACCTCTTGATCAGCGATGGATTTCCGGCCAATCCTCTACAGATATATCCAGAATTAAATCAAGAAGAGGGTACTGTATATATGGAAACCTATACTTTGGTTATATTCTGTGTAGCCCGCAGTAAGACAGGGATTCTTAATATTTATGAATGGAAATAATAAATCATTATAACACGAACCCAACACCGTGATAATGTTTGTATATTGTAAGAGTAATTGGAGTAAAATGTAAACGTAACAGTTTCCCGCGTGATGATAATGTCACCTCAGTTATTGTATCGTTTTGGTGTTTTATTTTGGATCAATGTAATATCCATGTCCATCATGGAATCAGAACTGAAAAATAAAGCGGAAGTTGTGTATCTATTTGTCTGGTTTATGTTTTCTGTTTTTGGGAAATGCTTTAGTAACTCATATGTTTATACGAGAGTGATTTCATTTATATGCCTTGCCTTTGCTGTTCCCGTCACTATAGTGACGTGTTGACAGATTATCTAGGACTTTTTTCAAACTTTACAAATGAAAGCGTCGACAACAGAAATAACAACCGAAATATGCAATACGAAATTACAAATACAATGTATATATGGCACTGTTCCGTCGTCAACAAATTATCATATATGTGACCGCGACTGCGACAATGTGGCCAGATGAGGTAAAATCAGAAATTGAGATTCTTATGCTTGCTGGAAGCTCAAAATGAAAGAAATACAAATCAAAAATATTAGTGAAAAATCTATTACCATTGCGGAGAAAATCAAGATGATGTAACATGCAATTTGAACAAAAACGCAAAATCAAATAACGACATTATACTAACAACTGTACTTTATATAACATTACAGTCACGTAACGTTAATGTAATTACAACAAGGTAGAATCAAATATAACTAAGGTAAATATATTTAAAACAGCTAACAACTGCAAAATTTGGTATGTATCGTTCATAACCACTATCAACAGAACATATTGAATTTATTAACAGTAAAGGGAGATAACTCATAGATAAAACTTAATAGTAGAACTATGTAATTACATAGTTCACAACGTTGTCTCAGTCTCAATGGTATACATATGTATAGTCAATATGTATATTATGATCCTACACATTGCCGACTGGTTGAGTTTAAAACAGTATTTAGTTATGTGATGTAGGATTAACAAATATTACGTTTGAACATATTTGTGTATATATATATAGTCAAATACCACCAAGATGGCAGACATAATAAAGGGAGATAATCATTCGATTCATTTTTTTTTAAATCGCAATTTTGTTTTGCATTGCTTTACTAATTGTCATTCAACTATTATCGCTTAATTATCAAGGTCAGGATGGTGGACTCATTGAAGTATTTAAAATAGAGCTCTAGTAACATTAAGATGAATTAGTCATATACAATATTCAATAAAGGGAGATAATCCACAGTCACATATCATTTTTGTTAAATGTTGATAATACACAGATTGCAACATTTACATTTATTGTCGTGAAATAACTGATTGATCTTTGATTTAGAACATTTTTAATACATTTGCCACACCAGCAGGTCAGATACTACTTACTAGTTATGTAAAATATCTTAAATTATAAATACCA